CCTGAGGGGGGCAAGGGCTGAGCGGCGCCCAGGAAGGGGGTGCCGATGGCTTCGTCTTCGGAGGCGGAGGTCGCAGGAGGGCGGCGTTGGTTATCGGACGCTTCCTCGCCTCCGCGTGCGTTCCCGAAGCCGCGCCTCGTCGAAGGCTCTCTGGGGGGGGCCCTGCTCGCCCCGGAGCGGCCGCCAGAGGCCCGAGTTGTGGCCCGAAGTCCGGGGGGCAAGGCCGCCCCCATCGTCCGCGCGCATGCCTCGGGCGACGTTGCGCTCCCCCCCCCCCCCAATCCTTGCCCCCCTCTCCCGCGCGCCCGAGTACACGTTCGCCCCTCGGCGCTCGGTCCTGCGCCTCCCCCCAGGCCCCCTCGCGTGGAGAAACGACCGCGGCGGGAGGTCTCTCACTGTTCTCGGCATCGGGGGGCCCTTCCGATGCCTTGGGACCGGCAAAAAACGGTTCAGGATGAGAATCCGTTCCAGGGGAAAGGGTCCAGACCTATGGGGGTCGACGCTATGAAAAAATCACGACGTCGGGGGTCTGGGCCAGGCTCCCGACGTCGTGGTTACGTTCGCAACGTGGTCCCCCAAAAGTCTCGACCGTTTCCCCAGGACCGGCTGTTCATCCTGAGCAATTTTGTTGACGGTCCGGGAGCCCCGCGAGGGCCCCTGAACGCCGAGCGAGCATTGTCAAAGAACAGGCCGCCTGTGTTTTTTCATGACGCGAGGGTGTCCAGCTCCTCCCTTCCTCATTCCCGTTTCACGCCACTCGGGACCGAGGTCACCCCGCCCTATGACGACCCGAGGCGCTGCGTCACGGGCGGAAAGGACGAGGCCCGCGAGAGGGTGCAGAAGGTGCTGTCGTCGTCGTCCACGTCAGCGTCGTCGTTGGCGTCGTCGTCGTCGTCGGCGCCGTCGTCGCCGTCAGCGTCGTCGCTGTCTGAATCATCGTCGTCGTCGTCGGCGTCATAGTCGGCGTCAGTGGCGGCGTCGTCGTCGCCGGCGTCGTCGGCGTCGTCGGCGGCGGCGTCGTCAGCGTCGCCGTCGCCGTCGCCGGCGTCGTCGTTGTCGTCGTGGTCCGTGGCGACGTCGTCGTCGTCGTCGTAGTCGTCGTCGTTCGCGGCGTCGGCGCCGGCGTCGGGCTCCAGGGGGCCCTGGAGCCCCCCGTTGGCGGCCACCAGAGGGCCCAGAGAGGACCAAAGGCGCCCCTCGATGGAAAGGTTCTCGATCCTCGAGGAGAAGCAGGTCGAAGACTGGGCCACATACATTGCCAGTGGCGGGTTGCTTTTTTTTGTCCCACTGCTTTTTGAGGGTCGGGGACGACGTCGGAGTGGTGGGGTGTATACTTTTCCCCCGATGTTCCAAGGGAAACAACAGATTATCCCGGCAAAGCAACCTAACAGCGATATGTAGAAGCATATTTGAAAGCATTCCCCTTAAGATTCAGATGAAAATCCAGTTGTAGAATTCTGCTGTTCTCGCAGTCGTAGTCGCATTCGCGATGACAGTCGCAGCGGCAACGGCAGTCGCAGTCACAGCCTCAGCCTCAGCCTGCCTCAGCCTCAGCCTCAGCCTGCCTCAGCCTCAGCCTGCCTCAGCCTCAGCCTCAGCCTGCTTCAGCCTCAGCCTCAGTCTGCCTTCAGCCTCGGCCTCAGCCTCAGCCTGCCTCAGCCTCAGCCTGCATCAGCCTCAGCCTCAGCCTCAGCCTGCCTCAGCATCAGCCTGCCTCAGCCTCAGCCTCAGCCTGCCTCAGCCTCAGCCTCAGCCTGCTTCAGCCTCAGCCTCAGTCTGCCTTCAGCCTCGGCCTCAGCCTCAGCCTGCCTCAGCCTCAGCCTGCCTCGGCCGCAGCATCAGCCTGCCTCAGCATTCAAAATGTGGCCCAGGAATGGAGTTCTGGGAACTAGAAGAACACGAAGTGGCCTACAGTTGGCTCCGGGCATTCAAAATCATGCCCAGGAATGGAGTTCTGGGAACTTGAAGAGCACGAAGTGGCCTACAGTTGGCTCCGGGCATCCAAAATGTGGCCCGGGAATGGAGTTCTGGGAAATCGAAGAGCACGAAGTGGCCTACAGTTGGCTCCGGGCATCCAAAATGTGGCCCGGGAATGGAGTTCTGGGAACTCGAAGAGCACGAAGTGGCCTACAGTTGGCTCCGGGCACTCAAAATGTAGCCCGGGAGTGGAGTTCTGGGAGGTCGAAGAGCACGAAGTGTGTGACTGTTGACGAAAAACGAGCCCGGCTCTATTCCCGGTTCTCCAGAATGTGGCCTGGGAATGGAGTTCTGGGAGGTCGAAGAGCACGAAGTGTGTGACTGTTGGCGAAAAGCGAGCCCGGCTCTGTTCCCGGTTCTCCAGAATGTGGCCCGGGAATGGAGTTTTGGGAGGTCGAAGAGCACGAAGTGTGTGATTGTTGGCGAAAACGATTCCCGGTTCTCCTCCCCGGCACCCGCCCAGACCCCCCTGAGGAGTCATGATGCTCTCTTTTGACCCTACTAGAAACCTATCAGCAAAAGCTGTTAGGTAAAAATGTATACACCAGGATCCAGTATACAGCAGGATCCGCGTTCTTGTGCGAGAGCGCAGGGTCGGAAAAAGCGTCGGTGTATAGAGTTCGTTTGCCTAGCAGGAGCAGGAGGAGGAGACATGTAGCTTTACAAGCTCAGCCCAGCTTGTTCTCAGAGCGCGGGAGCATCTGGCGTCGCTTTGTGCCACACAAGAACAGGGAGGAGAGAAGGGAGAGGAGGAAGAGAAGGAGGGAGAAGACCAGAGCGAATTCAAGACGCATCAGCAATGTTGCAATAAGACCTCCTTCTAAGCTTCCTCTTCATATATCCCTACATGAATTCATGCTCATTGCAGGAAGTGCCCCACTGGAAGACAACCGTCGAAGAACCATCAATTGTGCCGAAGCCCATTTAAGGACTTCAACGCCGCGAATCAGCATGGTTGACACATTACGACAACCCTAACTCACGCCATAACACCGTTCATGGAACTTCAAGCATACCGCGAAATCGACCACAAGCTCTACCTCGTCGCCGATTGCAGCAGAACCTCAATGGCTGACATCCTCCTCTCCTCCTCCATCGGTTCCTCCTTCACAGTAGACAACACAGTGATGCCAGCTGCTGTATTTCAGCAAGCCCTCTGCTTGCATCACTCTCTCGACGCCCGTGCTTGCTCTGCGCGTGCACCATACAGTGTGTGTGCACGCCGTGCATCACAAGACGGAAGCCCGTCTGCCAGCGGCCAGACAAGAGTCATTCCATTCTTGTTGTCGTCATCTTTTTCCACTTATTCCCACAACTGTTCCCACGTGTAAAGAGGTCCGTTGACCTTGCCAAGCGCGTCCGCTTGGCCCCCCACTTTTTCTGGGATGATTCCCTACCGACTGCTGCGGACAGCAGTCACATTGAGCGCCTCTTGGACGCTTCGGGTCCCTTCCCCGTCATTGCTGTTGGATTTACTGGTAGTATTGCATGCACGCGTTCATATTTTCAGATTGACGTTTCTTCGCATCGTACAGTTCTGCCAGCTTCGTTTGTGTGCACACCGTGCTTAGACACGCAATGTTGGTGCCAGCCGCGCTTTTCTGCTGCCAGCCAGTTCTTGTGTTACAATGAGGCAGCTGCGCTTATGGTGCCTGCCCCACACCCTTCTGCCAGGTGCTCTGGGCCGTACTGCAACGTCCAGTCCACCTCCACTAGTATTCCTCTTCCCTCCAGCCTTCTGCACCCACTGTCAGCACCTGCTCCGTCACGTTCGCAGGTATGGAGTTGGGGGGCAGGGTTGGATCGTGTGGGAGGTTATTCTTACCCTAACAAGGGTAGCAGCCCAACTATTGCTTATGCTGGCCAGCCGTACGTTGTTCCTGTCAGTGTTTCTATAATTTGCCGTTCGGGTAGCAGCCCTAGTATTGCACGCGACCAGCCAGCGTACTCGTTTACCTTTAACCACTTGCTGCTTGCCACGGCAGCAGGTACCTTCAATATGGAGGGGGTCGAGGTATTATGCCGGGGGTGTCACATACCAAAGTACGTATGCTAACACTTGTACCACCTGGCTGGCGCCGACTCCAGGTCCCCCGTTTAGCCGCATTTGTTCCCCCCCCCCTTTCCCGCGGCGCCGCCAGGTGTTTTTCTTCTCTGCGCCAAGTTGGTCCACATCATATTTTCACGCACGCCACAGCCCTCGGCTAAGGTTGGTCTAGCGGTATAAAGGAGGAGCAGGAAGAGGAGGAGGAGGAGGAAGAAGAAGAAGAAGAAGAGGAGCAGGACGGGGACGACGGCGATGAGGGCGGCGCGGGGAGGTGCCATCGAAGCTGCTGCCGCCAGTCGACCGCTTCTCGATCCTCCCTCTCCTCTCTCTTTCTCTCTTTCTTTCTTTCTTTCTCTCTCTCTCTCTCATCTCTTTCTCTCTCTCTCTCTCTCTATCTCTCTCTCCATCCCTCTCTCTCTCCACCCGTCTTTCTCGAGCTTCCGTCCTGTTCTAGCATGGTGGAGTTTTTTTTGTTTTGGCATCGGCAATGTTCATCATCGGGCCTCCGTGCAAAAGATGAGTCCAGACATCGACGTCCTGATGCTTTCAATACGCGGTCCCCGAAGTCCCGATCCTTTCCCGGGGGCCGGGTTTTTTATCTTGCGTCATTGTTGTTGCGGTCCCAGGGCCAGGCGAGGGCCCCCTGACAAACAGACAGGGACCGCGCCCAGACAGCACAGTGGTTCAATATCGTGCGCGCACGAGCGCATGCACAACAGCACGCTGGCGTCGACAGCCCGAGGAGCAATGTACAACCAGCGTCGCCGGGTACATGGGCGGGGATTGTTTAAACATTTGCGCGCACCTGGTCGACCCTGCCAAAAGGCCCGTCGGTGGACGACCCCGGGAGAGCAACGGCAGCAGGAGGCAGAAGAGGAAACGACACCCCAGGAGCAGGACGAGCCCAGAGCCGGTTGGAGAGAGGAGGGCGAGCGACAGGGGAGGATCCCGCAAGAGAGAGGAGGGCGGCACCCGTGCGACCGTCCGAGGGACGAGGAGGGGGGAGATTAGGCAGAGGATCGGCGCAGGACGACGGAAGAGGGGACGGCGACACCACCAGGAGGGCAGGCGGGCGGCGGAAGCCAGGGCACCTCTTAGCGCTGTATAACTCTTCCCCCAAACTTGTGCTGCCAACTATACAGTAAGGCGCCAGGCTGGTTTAGCTCGCCCAGCCCAGCAGTACCTCAACACTGTTTTTTGTTCCACGCGCGGTGCTTAAAAGTGCTTTGTCCGCGCATTTGTCGGGCGGCCTCTTCCGAGCCCAGGGCCCCCCCCCCCCCGTGCATGCACGTTGCTCTTGTCAGAGCGCGCGCGTGCCCTACCGAAGCCCAATGTGGTATGGGACGCCCTCGGCGACGCCTCCCCGGGTCGACGAGACGAGAATTCCCACATTGGAGGACGCTGGCCCGGCGAGGGCCCCCAGAAGCCGAAAATTGCCAAAGTTTCCCTTCATTGTTCTTGTTGCGACGCTACCGTGCCTGGGCGGAGGTGCTGTCGAAGCTGCTGGAGCAGCTGGCGGCGAAGCGGCCCTGGCCGAAATGAGCGGCAACGAGGGCACCAGCGCGCGCTCGCCGCGCCCGCGGGGGGCGGGTCGGCCCGTGCCCGAAGCGGCCGCCGCAGCGCGCACCATACAAGAAGGCACGCCAGGGAGCCCGCCGGGAGGAGGACGTGGCCCAGCATTCGTCGGGGTGGAAGAGGCGGGGGTCAACGCAACCGGGGGTCAGTCAGAGCAGGATCCTGCAGGGCCAGGGGCGCAGTGACCCGAGCTTGGGCGCAGGATACCGCAGGACCTTGCAGGGTTTTGCGGGATCTTGGACCAGGGTCTGAAGTTCCCCGGATTGGGGCGGGTGGCAATGGGGGGTGCTGTAATGAGAGGTGGAGAAAAGGGCCCCCAAGGGGCCCTTGAGGGCCCCTTTTGGCCACCTGATGGCTCCAAAAAGGCACAGCGCGGGGCCCCTGAGGGGGCGCAATGGGCCCTCAGGGGCCCTTGAGAGCATTCAAGGGGCCCTTGAGGGCCTCCCCTTGAGGGCCCTTTTCTCCACCCACCCCCCACTGAAGTCACCGCCCATAACCACCCGCCTGAGGCATTAGTACTGGCGAGCAGGCTCGAGCTGCAAGAGACGGAGGTGCATACAAACAGGGGTCAGCCTGAGCGCCGGCCCCTGCACAATCTTGCAGGGCCAAGGGTGCATTGACCCGGGCTTGGGCGCAGGATCTTGCAGGAATCCTGCAGGAATCTTGCAGAGCCTGAGTGACCCGGGTTTGCATTGACCCTGGTTGGTGGGCCCCCGACGGGCAGGGAGGGCGAGCTTCGAGGTTCTGGGACCGAGCAGGTTGCTTTGCTTCGTTCGGCCCCTATTGGCCACGCTTCGGGCCCCAGGGCCGTCAGAAACGAACTCGGGGTGACAATCTGCACCGGGTCCATATGGGCCCTCCCCCTCCCCCCCTCCTCCACCCTCCTCCTCCCTCCTCCCTCCTCCTCCTCCCTCCTCCCCCTCCTCCTCCCCCTCCTCCTCTCACCGATTTCGAGCGGATTGCCCCTCTCCGTTCTTCTGGACGGATCTTCTCGGGGCCCATCCAGTTCGGGCCCCCGGGCCGCCTCCACGGTGCGCCGGCAGCCGGCACCTCCGCCGTCGTCGGGGCTCGAAGAGCGGTCGGAGGTTGATCGTTGCGCGATGCCTCTGGAGGACCGAAGTGGGTACACCAAATTTCGTAATAAAAGGGAGGGGGTCTGGACCCTCCAAGACAAGCCATTTCAGACCTCCCCCGTGGGAGAACCCTCCACAATATCGTCCCCAGACCCCCCAGGCCCTCCAAGATAGCCTGGAAGAGACGCCCCCCGAAATGAGACCCCCTCCCTTTATTACGAAATCTGGAGTACGGGAATGGATTCGCTGTCGGTGCCGTCGCGAACGTTGTCCGTTTGAGAAAGAAACTCACCTGCCCAGCAGCGGCCTCTGTCGGTTTGAGACCACATCTGCTGTTGGGTACCATGCCCATTCTCTCCATACCCAATTCGGGCGTGCCATAATTTGACCCCGAGCCAAACATCCGGGTCGGTTCTGGAGATCGCCGCGGCCATCGCGGCGGCTACGAGTCGGGGTTGGTTTTTCGTGTCAAGGAGTGGCATGTCCCTTCCCAGACCCCCCCCCCCCTCCCCGCTCTGCGATGTAGACGTGGCTCAGAACGGAAGCGACAACGAGTTGTCAATGTATGTCCAGCATGGGCAGTCTTGTTTTTTTCCCAACCATCCCGTGGTGTTGGGTCCTCGTTTTGAAGAAACGGTCCCCGCGTTCTTCCTTCCTCCTTCCTCCCCCTCCTCCTTCCTCCCTGCGCTTCACCCACCCAGTACAGCGCTTCGTGGCCCCATAGGGAGCTCCACCGAAGCCCCCAGTGGGACCGCCCGCATGCGTCCCGAAAACCAAATTTGGCACACAACTCACACGCTTCGTGGCCCCATAGGGAGCTCCACCGAAGCCCCCAGTGGGACCGCCCGCATGCGTTCCGACAACTTATTTGGCATACCCCTCACACGTTTCCTGGCCCCACAGGGAGCTCCACCGAAGGCCCCAGTGGGACCGCCCGCACGCGTCCAGAAAACCCAAGTTGGCACACCCCTCACACGTTTCGTGGCCCCAGTGGGACCGCCCGCATGCGTCCCGAAAACTTCATTTGGCACCCCCTCACACGTTTCGTGGCCCCATAGGGAGCTCCACCGAAGGCCCCAGTGGGACCGCTTGCATGCGTCCCGAAAACCAAACTTGGCACACCCATCACACGCTTCGTGGCCCCACAGGGAGCTCCACCGAAGCCCCCAGTGGGACCGCCCGCACGCGCCACGAAAACTCAATGTGGCACACCCCTCACACGCTTCCTAGCTCCATAGGGAGCTCAACCGAAGGCATGCGTCCCGAAATCCCAACTCGGCACACCCCTCACACGTTTCGTGGCCCCATAAGGAGCTGCCCCCAAGGCCCCAGCGCCACCGCCCGCATGCGTCCCCCACACCCAATGTGGCACACCCCTCACACGTTTCGTGGCCCCATAGGGAGCTCCACCGAAGGCCCCAGTGCCACCGCCTGCACGCGCCCCCCACATCCAGTTCGGCACACCCCTCACACGCTTCGCGGCCCCATAGGAAGCTCCACCGAAGGACCCAGTGCCACCGCCCGCATCCCACACACACACACACACACACACAGACACACACACACACACACACACACACACACATGTCGGCACACCCCTCACACGCTTCGTGGCCCCATAGGGAGTTCCACCGAAGGCGCCAGTGCCACCGCCCACATGCGTCACCCACGCCCATCTCGTCACACCCCTCACACGCATCGTGGCCCCATAGGAAGCTCCAACGAAGGCCCCGGTGCCACCGCCCGCATGCGTCACCCGCGTACGTTCCGGCACACCCCTCACGCGCTTCGTGGCTCCATAGGGAGCTCCGCCGACGGCGCCATTGGCTGCGTTCGCATGCGCCCACCGCACCAATGTCGGCACACCCATCACACGTTTCGCGGCCATACAGGGGGCTCCACCGACGACCCCAGTGGCTGCGTTCGCATGCGCCCACCGCACCTATTTCTGCACACCCCTCACGCGCTCCGTGGTCCCATAGGGAATTCCACCGACGGCCCCAGCGGCTGCTTTCGCATGCGCCCACCGGACAAAATTTGGCACACCCCTCAAACGTTTCGTGGCCCTATAGGCAGCTCCTCCGAATGCGGTGCATACAACGACGGTGTTCACAACTGCATATGGTTGGGTCCTTCGCCAGGCTAATTTGTCGGGGGGCGATTCTCACGCAGCCATCGTCATCGGGGTTCGAGGACCGATCGGAGGTTGATAAGGTAGGTTCATGCGTCATTGGCGCGCTGGCGACGCCGGCGAAGGCGTTTAAGGTTGATCTTTGCGACGCGGAAGCACCAAGGGACACGTTAACGCCATTGGACCGACGGAATTCAACCTTGAACGATCGGGGCCACGATCGCTTCAAGGTTGAGCGGTCGACGTGGTGTCAAAATCTTTGCGCGCGCCGACGCCGCGCGAACTTGCTGTAGGACCCCCTCTCCCTGCCAAGTCGATGAGCGAACTGTTTTTTCTGAGCTCTCTTGAGCGCGCTGCGGCTGCAACTTTCGCAGGCCTGCTCCCGCTGGGTCTGGTCCTTGGCCGTTTACACAGAAGCATGCTTTGCTAAAGGCTGTTATGGCCACCCCCGAGTCTAGGTTCGATGATCTAGGGTAGAGTCGGTCATGTCATTCTACAGGAGGGATATCCGAGAATGGTTTTAAAATAGTCTGGGGACGATCTCTCCTGCTCTGATGAGTTGTTGGAGCATTTCTTGATCCTCTGTTTTATGATTCTTCCAGAATCCTCCTGTGGGAGGACATGCCCGACCTACATCTGGGGTCTGGGCGTTCCGTCGCAAGGCGGAGGCCTCTCGTCCCCGCGGCCGCATCCGCCGCGACGTCCCAGCCCGGAGCGCACCTCCGGGGCAGGTCCGGGGACCGAGTGTTGGCCTCGGGCTCGAGACCCCCCGCGTCTCGAGAACGTCCAGGGGGGAATATCGCAGCGCTCGTCCTCTGTCGGAGGTTGACAGACGTCCTACCCTGACCCGTCGATTAGTGGATTGGCCGTTCTCGGTTCGCGCGAGGGCGTCGCGGCCGTCATTTTTGCGGGTCCAGGTCCGTCGGTTTCGGTTTTAGGCTGTTTTCACTACATGGAGGTGTACTAAAGGGAGGTTTGTCCACCGCCGACTCTGGGGGCCGCTCCTGGGTCCCGTGGCCAGGACAACACAATCCCGCACCGCGAAAGTACGACGTCGGAGGCTTAGGTCCTCCTCCCTGTTCCAGGTGGGTGGATGCTTGTAACAAGCTCCTTTCTGAGCCTCGTACTTCAGAGGACCTCCAGGGACGTCCCGAGCTCTCGGGAGACCTCCTCTTCTAGGTGGGAAACTCGTTATCCTATCGCTTCGCTCATTCCACTGGCTGGTACGTTGTCATCGTTGCCGCGTGACCGTCTGGTCGTAGCGATTGAAAATGTGTTCATGTCCTCGTGGACAACGGGAGATGTCTGGGAGGCACTAGATGGCGTTTCCTGGCACTTCGAGACCCTTTGGGAGGCTTCCTGGGATCTCTTCGGCGGCCTCTCGGGGGCTTCTTGGCAGCAGTGGACCAGATGCCTTTTTGGAGACTTCTTGGGGTCTCTTCGGCGGCCTCTCAGAGGCTACGTCGCAGCATTTCTGTGACCCGCTGGGGCCTCTTGGGGCTGCTTTCCAGGGGCCTCCTGGGGGCTTCTTGGGAGCCTGCTAACCGGCTCGGGCGCCAATTGTTTAGGCAGGCTCAACACGTGAGTGAAGATCCCCCCTTCTGGAGGCCTTCTTGGATGCCTCTGCAGCTGTCGTGGCAGGCCTCGTGGGCCGTCTTGGAGTCCTCGTGGACCGTCTGGGGGCCGTCGTAAGAGCCTTTTGGGCCTGACGCCCTCTTGGCCCCAGGGGCCGCCACGCGCGCGCGCGAACTACTTACTGGAGATGTTAGCACGCCTCTGGCCTGTTGGCCCAGCGAATCTCCACGGACGTCAAGAGACCTCGGTAGACCTCCTCTAGATTGGAGATTGGTTATGAGTCCGCAAGTCCGCCCGCATTGTCGGAGGAATCGTCACGTATCCGCCAGTCGCATCGTCATCACCATCATCATCATCATCATCATCATCATCATCATCATCATCATCATCATCATCATCATCATCATCATCATCATCGTAATCATCATCATCAGCATCATCATCATCACCACTCCTCCTTTATCTCGTGATGACCATCGCCGTCTTCATCGTCATCGTAATCACCTGGTTTGCCACAACCACACCATCAACACCTTTCCTCCTCATCATCAGCAGAAGTAGCATCGTCGCCGCCATGATCGTACGTAGCCATGCTGCTTCGAGATGAGGTTGACTCCGTCCCTTCGGTCTGCCACTTGAGATCCGCCCCATGGCCCTCGCACATGGTGATCGCGAAGATCCGAGGTGCGGTTGCAGGGCCTCCTCAAGGGCGAACCATATTGCGGCAGGCAAGAGCATGCTGCGCAGCGATCATTGCCATCCGATGCATCTGCACATTCTCTCTCGGGCGGGTTCCGTCGCCGTGCTTTGCACTGCGCCCACCCCTGGCAGCGAGGACGATGCCCGATGTGGCGTCCACTGAGAGGCCCAGCGTTGAGGGCAGGTTGGATCGTGTGGGTATGTCGGGTATCGACGTACCTATCCGAGCACCTGGGTTGCGGCGCGGGATGGTTGTCTTGGCAAAGGCCGATGCGTATGTGGACCTCGCCGACCCCCGTGCCAAGGGCATCCACATGTCGCGGCTGTACCGTCAGCTCACCGAGAGGCTGCCAGAGGCGGACTTGAGCGTTCCTCTCCTGCGTTGTGTCCTTGAAGGGTTCCTTGAGTCCCACGCGGGTATTTCTCGTACGGCGCAGATTCGGCTGTCTTTCGAGGTGCCCGTCGAGCGCGGCAGTCTGGTCAGCGGGCTTTCGGGCTGGCGCAGTTATCCAGTCGAGGTGGAGGCCATTCTCGACGAGGGCGGCTTGCGGGTTTGGTTGACGCTGTCGGTGGCTTCGGTAGCAAATCATGGGAGCCCTGTGTACCCTATTAATTTGCCTTTAGCGTCGACTAGCGTCAATTAGCGTCTGGTAGTCGATGGGATAGCACCGATTTGGCGCCGATTAGCGTCGATCAGCGTCGAATTAGCGTCGATTAGTATCGATCAGCGTCGACTCGGAAAAGCGAAAGAGCGCTTTCTGGCGCCACTGGAGGGGGGGGTCCCCCCCCAAAAAACAAGGGGCGGGGGGAGGTTCGGGAACCAGGGGGACCCCCCCCCCCGAAAAACCAGCGGGGGGGTGCAACCCCCACCCCCTTAGCCGCCGGCAGCCGCCGACGACGACGACAACGACGACGACGACAACGACACGATGACGACGACGACGACGACGACGACGACGACGACGACGACGACGACGACGGCGACGACGACGACATATTCTTGCGCCAGGGGGGGGGGGTCGACCCCCCCCCTCCCCAGGCCCTCCCGGGGGGTTTTCAACCCCCCCCTTACTCGCCGCCGGCAAACAACAACGACGACGACGACGACGACGACGACGACGACGACGAAGACGACACATTCTTGCGCAGGAGGGGATGTTCGACCCCCCCCTTCTCCCCAGGCCCTCCTGGGGGGTTTTTGACCCCCCCTACACTCGCAGTCAGCAAACGACGACGACGACGACGACGACGACGACGACGACGACGACGACGACGACGACGACGACGACGGCGGCGGCGGCGACGACGACGACGACGACGACGTCGTCGCAGATCTGCGCCAGCGCCCGTCCACCCGCGTTGGAGAAGAAGGACGAGGGAGAGGAGCGTGGGAGGAGGAGGATGAACAGCAGCGGGAGGTGGCGGTGGTTCCGGGGTGGGAACGGCAGTGGGCGAGAGAACGCAAGAGGAGGGGAGAAGAAGGAGAAGGAGGAGGAGGAGGAGGAGGAGGAGAAGGAGAAGGAGAAGGAGAATAAGGAGGAGAAGGAGGAGGAGGAGGAGGAGGAGAAAGGAGGCAGACTGTACACGCATCCGACTTTAGTGTCCCGCCCGCCCGACCCGACCCGCCCGATAGGGTCCGCCCGCCCGACCCGCCCGATAGGGTCCGTCCGTCCCGACCCGCCCGTTAGAGTTCTCAGATGTCATGGTGCATACGCATCAGACTTGAGTGTCCCGCCCGCCCGACCCGACCCGCCCGTCAGGGTCCGCCCGCCCGACCCGCCCGATACGGTCCGCCCGCCCCGACCCGCCCGCCAGGGTTCTCAGATGTCATGGTGCATACGCATCAGACTTGAGTGTCCCGCCCGCCCGACCCGACCCGACCGCCCGCCCCGACCCGCCCGATAGGGTCCGCCCGTCCCGACCCGCCTTCCTCATGCGTCATGACGCATCAGACTTTAGTGTCCCGCCCGCCTGGCCCGACCCGCCCGATAGGGTCCGCCCGCCCGACCTGCCCGATAGGGTCCGCCCGTTCCGACCCGCCGGTTAGGGTGCTCATGTGTCATGTTGCATACGCATCAGACTTTAGTGTCCCGCCCGCCCGACCCGACCCGCCCGTTAGGGCCCGCCCGCCCGACCCGCCCAATACGGTCCGCCGGATAGGGCCTGCCCGCCCGACCTGCCCGATAGGGTTCGCCCGTCCCGACCCGCCCGTCAGTGTGCTCATGTGTCATGCTGTATACGCATCAGACTTTGGTGTCCCGCCTCCCCGACCCGACCCGCCCGTTAGGGCCCGCCCGCCCGACCCGCCCGATACGGTCCGCCCGTCCCGACCCGCTCTGCATTCTAGGGTACGCCTGACCCGACCCGCCCGATAGGGTCCGCCCGCCCGACCCGCCCGATAGGGTCCGTCCCGTCCGCGACACGCCCGTTAGGGTGCTCACATGTCCTGGCGTTTACGCATCAGAGTTTAGTGTCCCGCCCGCCCAGCCCGACCCGCCCCGCCTGTTAGGGCCCGCCCGCCCGACCCGCCCGATACGGTCCGCCCGTTCCGACCCGCCCCGCCCGATAGGGTCCGCCCGTCCCGACCCGCCCGCTAGGGTGCTGACATGTCCTGGTGTTTACGCGTCAGATTTTAGTGTCCCGCCCGACCCGCCGATACGGTCCGCCCGTCCCGACCCGCCCCGCCCGATAGGGTCCGCCCGTCCCGACCCGCCCGTTAGGGTTCTCATGTGTCATGCTGCATACGCATCAGACTTTAGTGTCCCGCCCGCCTGACCCGACCCTCTCATGTGTCATTCTGTATACGCATCAGAGTTTAGTGTCCCGTCCGCCCGACACCACCCGCTCGATTGGGTCCGCCCGCCCGACCCGTCCGATAAGGTCCGCCCGTTGTCGTCGTCGGTCGTCGTCGTAGTCGTCGTCGTCGTCGTCGTCGTCGTCGTCGTCGTCGTCGTCGTCGTCGTCGTCGTCGTCGTCGTCGTCCTCGCCCTCGTCCTCGTCCTCGTCCTCGTCCTCGTCCTCGTCCTCGTCGTCCTCGTCGTCCTCGTCGTCCTCGTCGTCGGCGTCGTCGGCGTCGTCGTCGTCGTCGTCGTCGTCGTCGTCGTTTGCCGGCCCCGAGGCAAGTAGGGGGAACGGGGGGAGGGAGGGGGGGGGAAGGGGTTCGAAACCCCAGGGGGGGCCTGGGATGGGGGGTGGGGTCGAAACCCCCCGTGGGGGCCCGGGGAGGGGGGGGGGGTCGGACCTCCAGTTTTAGTTAGGGGGGGAAGGGGAGGGGGGGGGGGGGGGTGCAGGGGGGGAGATTGGGGGGGTCCCCTTGGTTTCCGACCCCCCCCCCCTCAGGGGAGTTTTTTCGGAGGGGGGGAGCCCCCCCTGGTTTTTTGACCCCCCCTCAGGGATTTGTTTCAGCACAGCCGCGGTGGATCTCGCTCCTTCGGAAGAGCCAACAGGATGGATGGTACGGGAGGCTCCCATGATCGGGGAAACGTAAGAGTCGCGTTCGCCGGAACCCGGTGTTGCCGACGCTCTTGGGCGGGCCCGTCTTGAGCTCTGACGGCCCACTGTCCGTGGGATGTCTGCAGCAGGAGCTCGCGTGAAGCTTCAGATTCGGTCCCGTCAGTTGTCCCGCGGCCCCTCCTCCTCCTCCTCCTCCTCCTCCTCCTCCTCCTCCTCCTCCTCCTCCTCCTCTGCCTCCTCCTCCTCCGAGCCCCCAGAGCCCGAGTCCTCTACGTTTCCCGAGCTGCCACCGGAGGTGGTCTACTCCAGCACGTGCCCCTGCTCCGCCGCCCTCGCGCGGCAGCTGATCCGGGACCGCTTCCTGCTCGACTTTGAGGGCCGGCCGGACCCCAGCACGGCGGAGGCCCCGGCTCTGGAAGTTCGCGCGCGTCCTCTCTGCACGACCGAAATGGGCACGGAAAGAATGTGCACAATGCTCGACAGCAGTTCCTGTTCATTTTGAACAGGGCTCGCTGTCCACGCCGCCGCGGCCTGTGTCCATTCGAGACAGAGGGCCGCCTGCCCAACAGCTGCCGCTGTTGGTTTGGGACAACATTTGTTGTTGGGCGTTGTACCCATTCTTTCCGTACCCATTCCGGGCGTCCAAATCCTCCTGCTCGCCATGACGCAAGCGGCTCTTGAGTCAAGTCGGGCATGTCCCTCTACCCACAGCAGGGATCTTCAAAAACAGTTGAAAGAATTGTGCGGGGACGATGCTTCTACAGTGTTAACATGTTTGGCAAATTTCTGACAATTTCGGAGTTGTCCTCCGAAGTCCGCCTGGAGGAGGACATACCCGACCTTAGGCAAGCGGGTCTTGAGCGAACCGGATCCCGATGTGTTTCGCCGTTTTCTGGCTCTCGGGGTCCTCCTCGGGCCCCAGGACTGTCAGTGATTCGGGATGAAGCATTTGTCTTCGGGAACGCCCCTGGTGTCCAGGATTAGTTTCCCGCAGGACCCGTTTCTTTCATGCCAAGGCTGCACGCGCGTCCATGTCAGCGTCCAAGCTCCACGGATCATGGGAATATTGTTCAAGTCTTGGCATTTTTGAGAGCTTTGGAAAAACCATGCCCTGGAGACATACAGAATCCTGGAGGGTCTCAATGTCCCCAGGAATTCTCAAAAGTTCTCGAGAGGCCCAGGTGTTTGGGAACATCGCCTTGGCACGCAACTGGTGGCTGCCTCGGGGAGTCAACGTCTCAGCAGAGCGCCCCTGCAATGAACGTTCTTCGCTACAGAGCAATGTACGCCCCCATCTTCCCCTAGAACTTATGTGTCCCAACCCTCCTGCGTCGGGTTCTCGCTTGGAATAGAGCGCTGCTCGCGTCTTTCCTCCTCCTCCTCCTCCTCCTGCTCCTCCTCCTCCTCCTCCTCCTGCTCCTCCTTCTCCTCCTCCTCCTCCACCTCCTCCTCCTCCTCTCGCTTCACTTCTTTTGCCGCCTGCCTCCTGTCTGCAGTTCTCTTACTGCGTTGCGGTGGCCAACTGCGCAATGCCATTATTATCGCAAGTGCCGCCAAGGGACATGCACCTCCAGTCGAGACCTCGCGGCGTCCCTGTAGGTCTTGTCAACTGCGCAAGTGTCGGCACCTCCAGTCGAGACCTCGCGGCATCCGTGTAGGTGTGCCACTTGCGCAGTCGTCGACACTTTCGGTGGCCATTGGAAGGTCCAGCAGAGCGAAGGGACACGCACATCCAGTCGAGACCTCGCGGCGTCCTTGTAGGTCTGCCAGCTGCGCAGGTGTCGCCACCTTCGCGGGCCACTGGGAGGTCCAACGACGAGGGACACGCACATCCAGTCGAGATTTCGTGGCTTCCCTGGGAGGCTGCCAATTGCGCAGGTATCGCCCATTTCGAGGCCTCCTGGGAGGTCCAGCGGAGCGGATAGAATCGCGCATCCAGTCGAGACTTCGCGGTCCCGCGCGGGTCTCCCAGTTGCGCAGCTGTCGCCACCGTCGTGGGCCCCTTGGCAGGTCCAGCGGAGCGGAGGGACACGCACCTCCAGTCGACACCTCGCGGTTCCCTTGGGGCTCTGCCGATTTCGCAGTTGCCGCCACCTTCGTGAGCCCTTGGGAGGTCCAGCGGAGCCGAGGGACACGCACCTCCAGTCGAGATTTCGCGGCGTCCCTGGGGGTCTGCCAATTGCGCAGTTGCCGCCATTTTCGTTGGCCTTTGGCAGGTCCAGCGGAGCGGAGGGACACGCACCTCCAGTCGAGACCTCGCGGCGTCATTGGGGGTCTGCCAATTGCGCAGTTGTCGCCGTCGTCGTGGGCTGTTGGGGGGTCTAGCGAAATGGAGGGACACACATTTCCAGTCGAGACTTCGCGGCGTCCTTGGGGGTCTGCCAATTGCGCAGTTGTCGCCACCTTCGTGGGCCAATGGGAGGTCCAGCGGAGCGGAGGGACACGCACCCAGTCGAGACTTCGCGGCGTCCTTGGGGGTCCAGCGGGCCAGAGGGATACGCAGACCCAGTTGAATATTCGCGGCGTCTGGGGGGGGCTGCCAATTGCGCATGTGCCGCCACCCCCGTGGACTCTTGGGAGGCTCAGTGGGGCGGAGGAGCACGCACCTCCAGTCGAGATGTCGCGGCGTCTTTGGGGGGGGGATTGCAGATTGTGCAGTTGTCGCCGCTTTCGTGGGCTCCTCGGAGGTCCAACGGAAGGGAGGGACACCACACCTTGCTGCCCCCTGTGGTGGGTGACCAATTGCGCAGGTGGCCTCACTCTCGTGGACGCGTGGCTCGTCGGGTGAGTTCCACTGGTCAGGGAAGCGCAGCAGCGCGCAGTTCAGGAGTGAGCCCAGGAGATGTAGCGAACGACGTCCTTACTCTTACAAGTATGTATTCCCTGCCGCCCTCATTGTTATTATCCGTCTGCTCCTTGTGTCCATGGTCATTGGTGAAGTCGTTGTTGTCATCCCTTGTGCGATCTAAG